TCATGGGGTGTGTGTATCAGGTCAAGGGATTATTTCCATCAGATATGGATCTCTCCTGATAGTGATCCATATCTCGCTGTCATCATATTGATGTGAAAGCTATAATGAAATAAAAGAAGTGCGGTGCTGTGAGCCTGTAATCTGCAGTCTGGATGTGTATTCTACAAATATGAGTAGAGAAGGCTGTTACTTTATCCCAAAGTCTGTGAGTGGCTTAGTACCGGTAGATGTCTTGGTGGGTTTGTCAACCATCGTTATCAAACAGTGGGGTGACATCAATGAATTAGGATTTTATCCTGTCATGGTGTACACAGTGTTTTGTATCATTCCAGCCCAGCTGCCAGCACGCGTGCCGACACCATCATCATGCAACATGTTCACCTGGTACCCGAGGAGGATGAAGAGGACCTGTATTCTGGATACAATGATTACAACCTGGCATATGACACTGAGGTAGGAATCCCATGGGACACCGTATTTCACTAAAGCAGAACTCCTGGCAGAATGTTTCTTACCCCTTACAGTGAGGCCACCCCCGCTCTGCAAGGGTTAGGTGCTCATTTTTGTTTAGTTGCAAAAATACAAAAGTTATACTCTCCTGATCCTCGGAGACGGCTTGCTCTTAGTCCGGTCCCTGGAGCCTCTCTTCCCCTCCACTGCAGTAGTCTAAGGATCCTTGAATACTCACATTCTATACAATGTGTATAGGACATGAGGACGCCGAGGGACATTCCATCTGCGTAGCGGAGTAGTAGCCAGTCGGCTCCACTGTGCAGGTGAGTATAACTTTTCTTCTTTTTTTTAGCACCTAGACAGAAACAAGCACTTAACCGTTTCAGTTCGGGGGGTAGCCCCACTGCAAGGATTGAGAACATTTTTGCCTGGAGTTCTGCTTTAAAGTATAAACTACCTGCAGGAAAAAACATTAGATGGACACTTCCTTTGATAGGATGACAACGCACTTCCTTCTGCATTGAAATCACTGCAGCTTTGTCACCCTCACTGCTACTGCAACTGCTTACATGTTTTTACTGTTGAAAGCCTGAGCAGTGAATAGTCTGCCACCCGCAGCCCTTTAGATTGACAGCGCATTACTCTGTCTGCAGGAGCTTATGGAAATAATGTAAAAGTGCTGCTCAACCCTCTTCTCGCCCCCACCTACACTGTCTAGCATGCTGCAGGACAAATCCACCATCCCAGCTGCATTTACCATTAAAAAAGGTAAATTACATTTCTTTTATGACATGTAACATGACAGCTTGCTTTGAAAATGCCTGTTTGCTCAGAAAAGAAAAAAACTTCACGAGTTTGATGTACATGTATACTTGTAAATGGCCCCTGCCCGACTCCCTCCACCTTGATTTCCGGACTTTGCTACCCCTCCTGCGAGCCTGGGACTGGCATTGCGGGTGTAGGCGTGTAGCAGGGAGAGAAACCACCGAACATCCGTTCGGCAATCTCCTCCCCTCCGAATAAAAAAGCGCTGCCGCTGCCACGGCTAGAGAAACCAAGGAAGAAGCTGATCAAGCACGATTCTCGTTTCTTATCTAAATTAACAAAATTCTAACCGTAAATATGATTTTCATTCGGGAAAAATTTGTACACATTGTAATACACATCTGTTAGGCACAAAAGAAACCTGTTCAATACGTCTGGGGTTCCAATCGAGCAGCGGATGTGGATGACATTTTTAGGGCCTTTTGAACAAGGTTTGTTGACTCGGTGATGGCATCGCCGAATGTTCTGATGAACCATTTCAAATGAATGGTCCCATGACGTTTTAACAGTGTATGGACAGCTTAAAGCCCAACTCCAAGAAAGACATTTATACACTGCATTGGGTGTGTAAATTATGATAGAAGGCTGTATATTATGTGTGCAAGGCTTCTACAAAGTATGAAAATCTTTCCTTGCAGCATGCCGGCTCCATGTGTAAAGCCTGAAGAAGAGATTTAAGTCATCCTGAGAGCTAACATCAGCCTAAAAGAGAACTATGGCCTAACCTTTTCTGGTCATTGTTCTCTTCAGGGTCACAGGAGGACATATATTAATGTCCTCCAGTAACCCAAAACTAGCGCTGGCTGGTTGACTACTGGCTCTGCCTGTCTAGAAGCAGAGTCAGCTGTGCTCCCCCCTTCCACCGTCCGTTCCCCCAGTCAGCACTAGAGATACGGAGAGGGGAGAATGCCTGCAAGGAGCCGTGTCTGACAATCACCGCTCTTTGCAGGGGGAGGATTGGGAAGTCAGCGATCGGCAGTATGTGTTCACTGACTTCCTGATCAATAGAGCCGACCTGTGACAGCTTCCCTGTCACAGGTCGGCTTGAATTATGGGGAGGAGAGTATTTCACTCACCCTATAATTCTCCTTTAACATAGCCAATAAGGGGTATCACTTCAAATGTTTTGCACTTATTGATGGATAACACTGTACAAGACTCAGTGCCAAGCTCATTTTAAAATTGATCAAATCCAAACCCCACTTCCCAGCTACCCTGCCCAACCTGGTTCCTGAAAGTCAGAAAAGGTAAGGGCAATCCTAATCTACTCATCTTAGTGTTTTTGGGATGCCACAGTAGCCAATCATGTGACCAAGAATATTGGCTTTTCTGTTGAACAAAAGGACCAGACAGACTGACTTCTGAGCATCTGTTTCAGCAGAGATCACATGACCAAAAGCCTAGACATTTTGGTCATGTGACCCTCCACTGCAGAATCCTGGAACAGCAATTTCTGTAGCCATTGTGTTACAGGCCCATCATTATAATCTGCTAGGAGAGTACTGAAAAGCCATTTGGGTGCAGGTCAGAGCTACATGGATGCTTCATCTACGTCTAAATTCAGCTCTCATATATCCAGATCTCATAGGTATGAAGATTTGAATGTGAAAGAGGGTAAAATTAGGGAAATAATAACTTTGTAGAATGGCAGGTTATTCATCCACTTTTGTTGTGTCTTGCAGGATTTGGAGAACGACACGGCTTTTCAGCAAGCTTTGAAGACAAGTTATGGACGAAGACCTCCGGTAATTTATTGAGTAACACCATATTGTTGATAAAGGATATCTCCAAGTTCACTTGCCTGCTAAATAGCCAAATCTTTAACTACCTCCCGGCCAGCCGCTGTGTATACACGGCCGGCCGGGAGCTTCTTGAATGTAACTGGGCGTGTATACACATCCTGTTACATCTGCCCGCTCGGGCGGGAAATCCCCGCTATTTGAAAAGAGGCAGCGATGCCTGTTAATATACAAGCGATCCGCCGGCTATAGAGCCGGCGGATCGCTTGTATGAGGCCCCGAGACGTGCGCCCCCCCTCCTTGTTATGTGATCACATATGTGATAGCAATAAAGTTAAGTAAAAAAAAAAAAATAGTAAATAAATTTAAAGTTTCCCCCCCAATTTTTTTAAAGTTACACAACTCTATCTGTCCCCAAAAATTGGTATAAAATTAATTTCAGTACAGCGTTGTATGACGGAATAAATGTCAAAGTACTGCAGCGCAGAACACTGAAAAATGGCCCGGCCAGGAAGGTGGTCTGAACACCTGGTCTTCAAGCGGTTAAAATTGTGCTGTACACGTCTGGCAAAGTTCCAGCTACCTCATTGCCTGGCTGAGCACAACAAAGATCATGTAGACTGAGTATAACACGCAACATAGAGTTTGTCAGGTTGTAAACATTTCTTAATATTTAAAACCTAACCTAGCTTTACTCACTCAACAAACTAAATGTGTTTTTTGTTTCCGTCTTTGTCCCTGTCAGAGAGATATCCCATCCCTACCTGTGTGAAACCTTGCCACTGGGACAGGTAGTGAGAGTTAAGGAGGACATGTACTGTGAACACTGTGCTTAAAAAAAGGCAAATGGAGAGCAAAAAGACTGGTCACTGGTATTGCCAGTGGTCTCCCTGCAGCTGATCTTTTCCTTATTACTCATTTTACTATGCCTTGTGCTGTACACTGTCTCTGTGAGGAGGCAGCCATATTGGTAGAGGAGAAGGCTATGTTTCCTGCAGTCAAAGCTGCCCCCCTGATGACTGGTGATCTAGTAACCGGTAGGGTAATATTCAAGAAGCAGCAGGAGAGGTGGAGGAAGCACATATCTAAGAATGAATCAATTCATTTAGCATAAGTCCCTTGCACTGTGGGTGGTCATTTACGACCAAAACGTGTGACACAAGCGGTTTGCTAATCTCTGTGCGTGTTTTTGCTCATTTGTCCATTAACCACAATGTCTTTCAATCTGCCCGCTAAAACGGGCATCTTCATGTGTGTGCATCTAACGTACGCAAAAATGTGCTAGACGAGCAAAAACGGGCTAAACATGCTACACAAAACCGTGCGCTAATATGTGCAGAAAAACACTGATGCCTAGGTGTGAACGGAGCCTTTGACTTTGATGTCACTTTTCCTTTTGGGTGCTTGAATTTCCCTTTTGATATATTACATTGTCTCTATCTAACTACCTCAGTGTTTCTGGTATGTTACTCAAAACAGTAACGTAAGTAATGTCTAGAAAGTAGCTTGGTTCATATATATATTACTCCCTGTTGTTATGTGGGGCATGCACGCTTGCTGGCACTTTGCATAAAGTTGATCTGCTACCCCATGTCACATAATTTGCCTCATATTACAGGTTACAGCTAAAGTCCCAGGAACAGCTGCTGTCCGTTCTTTGGGAACTGGATTTGGAGTAAGTATATTGTGTAATTAAAGCTCAGTTCACCTTTGTAGGGGGTCCAGTGTGTTAGAAAAAACACTGTGCAGTATTGCAATATTGTAATATTAAAATAACAATTAAACAAAACATTTCAAATACTATCCTGCCAGAAAAAGTCAGGTTATCAGCCCATCCTGCTCAAGGTCCCTGACACTTCGACCACACAGGGCCCAATCGCACCAATTCATTTGCATTCCAGAGCGATAGCTGCTGGAACGCACAGCAATCGCTCACAAAACTTCCCCGTTCGTTCTGGGGCGGGAGGGGGAGTGGCGGTTCATTGAAGTCTTTGGCACCGCAGCCACGCCCCCCGCCCGCAGTGCGATCGGACGCGTGTCAAAACATTGCCTGTGTTCCGGTCCACTGCAAACGCAAAAAATGCTGCATGCTCTATTTTTTGCATTGGCAGTGGACCGGAACGCAGACAATGTTTTGCCACGCATCCGATCGCACTTCCAGGGGAGGGGGCGTGGCTGCGGTTCCATTGACTTCCATGCACCGCCACGCCCCCCTCCCGCGATTTTTATCCTTAACTCTTTAGAGAAAACATTTGACCATTCACATAGGTCTCTACAACTGTAGAACTCAATGTCTGTGTATAGGCTAGCTATACACGTTCAGCCCCCATAGCGCTGCACAAGAGAAATCACTATCCCCCCCCCCCCATGCCAAAAAGCCCGGAGGGGGGATTTTGACCTCCCAG